GCAGAGGGGACGTGCCCGGCGGGAAGCCGGCCTGGCTGCTGCCCGGCCTCGGACCTGCTCGGACCTGGCCTGAAAAGTCCTCTCCACCTTCCTGCGGAAAGGAAGCGCTGCTCAACAGCTCTGAGCTTCCAGCTCCCTGGCTGCAGACAGCTCCCTCTGCCTTGCTCTGCGGCTGCTCTCGGCTCTTATGTGCAAGACACCGACGGCAAAATACTAATAATCAAAACGGTGGGAGTCTCTCCTCTCCTCTCCTCTCCTCATTTTGTCCTTTATTTTAACTAAGTGAATGAATCAGGTCTGAAAACATTGTTTAGATGTGTTACACCGTGACTTCATAGATTATTAAAGGAGGGGTGGATGTATGCATTTATCCATTATTTTTGTACACTGCAATGTACTGTTACAGGGAAAAAAAGAAAAAAAAATCGGCAAAAGCCTGTTCTTTTATAAGGAGGTTTTTGAAAGCTCTGAACTGTGCCACGAGAAATTTGGAAACGAATATAAGGCACTTGAGTAAGTTTTGCAAAAAGTACGTGAAGGAAAACCAGCCTCGCCTCTCCGCAGTGCACCGAGGAGAGATCTCATCGTGTTTGCCTACTGTCAGCTGGGAGCTCTCTCCTTCAAACTGTTTTTATTTTTTCTTGGGGCCTGAAAGGGAGTGTTTGATATCTGCTGGTAACTCCAGGCACCTCTCGCACCCTCTGATAAATGAGATAGCTTTCTGCCGGGAAGCGCCGGCGGTGACACCGTGCTGCCTCTGAAACAGGGCGCACGTGTCTCGCTGCCCCACCTCGCCCGAGCACGGGGCAGCGCTAGGGAAATCCTGTCCCTTTCCCACGGGATCAGGGGCGGGGGGAGGTGCCACAGCTCAGCCCGGGGAGGGGGAGCCGGGCAGACCCTTCCGGGAGATCCACATCCAAAAGGACACTCCTGTCACATCCCATCCAAAGGACGCTCTTGTCACACCCCATCACACCACAGCGCATGTCCCATCCTGCCCTATCAGCAAACCGGAGCATTTCGGTGAAGTTCCCACCTGCATTTATGCCTACATGTTGATATGTGGTTACATTTATATCGTGTGTTTGTGTATGATTTTATATTTATAATATGTAAAATGTGCATTTAAATAGTCCTCACTTTGTGTTGCTTGTAGATTTGCAAGCTTGTGAAACAAATGAAGGGAAATTACGGGACTAACTCACTATTCTTTAAAAAGGTAACAGGAACAATCTAATATATATTTGACTGTAATAATTTATCATGAATTAATCGTGCATGTGTGTGTACGCACAGGCGGGGAGGAGCAGCGCCGCCCAGGAAAGCACCTGGAGCAGGGGTGGGAAGGGGGATGTGTTTGATCCCACCGCTGCTGCTCGGGTGGGTGCGATATTCGGCTTTAAACACGAGCTCGGCTCCTTCCCATCCTGTCTGCGCCTCTGCAGTGAGAGCGGCAGTACACTGCCCTCCCGGCTCCCGGGAAGGGGAGCAGGAAAGCCAATGTGCCCTGCGGGCGCGGGCGGCCCGGCTGCGGGGCACCCGGGGCGCACGGAGTCCTGCGTCCCGCCGCTGCCGCTGCCACCTGCCCGCCTGAGGCTGCGAGCTGGCAGCCGCGGGCAGCAAGCGGGGACAGCTCCCCGCGGGTCACAGCTGCTGCCACAGCCCGCCCTGGCCCCCCGGCTGCGGTGTCCGCCGCTGCCCTGCTCGGCTCCCAGTGCTCCCAACCTCGTCTGCAAAGAGAATCCTTTCCCTGAAGGTCCTCCCAGCTCTCGGCTTGGGACTCCGTGTGCCATTTGAATAAATGATACCACCGAGATGAAACGCACTCATCCTCGGGGTGGGTACGGTTTACACCTACCCCAGGCTCCGGCCAGCAGCAGGCCGCCAGGAAAAGCCCTTTGTAGTCACACCTGAGCGGCGAGGGCGTCTGCATGGCTTGTGCGGCACAGCCCAGCACAGGTCCCTCCGTCTCGACAGGACTTAGAGGCCTGCCGGGGCCTGAGGACCGTGAGGGAGGAAGTGGCCCTATCCTACACGGACATCCGCCCTGCTGAGATGGCCGAGAGCGTGGAGTGTTTGGATCGGGCTGGGGGGACACGGGGAGGCACCGAGAGCTGCACGCCAGCGGGCGATGGGGGAAAGCCGGGAGAGGCGGGAGAGCTGCCACTTTGCGAGCACAGCCCCAAAGATGTAACCCGGGTGAGGCTCCGCCGGCCCCAGGAACGGCGGGGAGGGGCTGCAGCCGGCCAGGAGCTGCCTGGGGGGATGTGCGTGTCCCGGACAGGGACAGGGCAGCCGGGGAAATCGCGTCCCCCGCCTGGGAATCAGCCTGTGCCTCGGGAGCTGTCCTGGCACCGCACCCGCAGTTTCCTCCATGCCAGCCTGCAAGGCATTTTCCGACGGTGAGGGAAAAAGCCTAACCAGGGTTGTGGAGGGTCCCGCTAAGTTCACATCACCCATGGATTTCCCTTTCACGCCCCAAGAATTTAACGGGGTTTGAACGGAGAGCAAACGCGAAGCTGAGGGATGCTGCTAAGCTTACAAGGCTGAGAGTGTTCTTCGGGGGCTGGGGACGATATAGCTAAAGGAGCATCCCGCACACCTGGTGCACACCGACCTGGTGTCCCAATCTTCCCCAGCACTATGGCAAATTAAAGGCTGATTACAACCTGAAGGATGCAAGAAGAGGCACATCACTGTGCCTGAGGGGCTGGAGGGGAGCACGGCAACTCTGGACTCAGAGATGCTCTCACTTTACGCCGGAGCCAAGTCCGTTGTTTTGAGAAGACAGACACGCCGGGCAAATCCCTTCAGGCTCTGAATGACAGCCTACATGTCCCATTGCTTGGAAGGCTGGGCACAGCTGGCCTGACTGCTAAATATTGCAGTTAGATTTTCTGGGTGAATTTTGTGCTTCTCGGAGACAAGTGCTCTTGCTGCGAGCTGGGGAGACCCCAGCCGAGCGGTTTTCCTAGGGACGGTGTTTGCAGGTTTGGAAAGAAGTGGCAAGAAATCTCACCCGGAATTTTCCAGCTACTACTTCACTGGGAAAATAGGACAGGAAGTGCTCCCCCCGATTCGCTCTTTCCTGCGGTACGCGTTCGGTTATCGCATCTTCCCCGTGAGCTCAGGGAAAAAGAGGCCCTTACTCTGCCCTTGGCCTTGCGGGGTGACTGGAGGTACTGGGCGAGGTCAGCTACCCGCGGAGCGGAGCGGCTGCTGCCCTCGGCCCCCCGCCGGCGACGGTGAAAGGTGAGAGGCTAAATAGCCCCGGTTAAAAAAAAAAAAAAAAAAAAATATCCGTCAGCTACAGGTAAGATCCATTCTGGTTTTGAAGACTTTTACAGCACCCCCCTCCCTCCCTTCCCTCCCCACCAGTCCCGTGTGGCTTTCCTGCCGCCCGGAGGTGCTGGTTGCAGAGTGCAGGCCACATAGCTGACCCCCAGCCAGCTCTCCACTCCGAGAGACTGGCATCTGAAATATTACCCGGGGAGCTGGAGCGGCTCCGGCAGTATAGCCCCGCTCTTCCCCAAAAGGTATCCGGGGAATCCTTCCCCTCCCTTGCCCGCCGAAGCCCTTTCAAAGAAAGTCAGCCCGATGTGTTAGCCTAAGTACGAAGCATCCGAGGAATTTCCACCGGGGAAACGACCCTTTCCGCGGGCTGGCGGCGCTTCCCGCGCTCGGCCCGTCCTGCCCGGGGCTGGGGCCGCCAGGGGCAGGGCGTACCTTTAGGCATGGAAGCGTTTAGCGGTTTCGGCGGTATTAACTCCTAACAGGGTGTGAAAAGTATTGGGGATTGAAAAAGCTGTGGGAAAGTGGATTCTTTCCAAGTCAGGCGGGCTGGAGCTTTCCTCTACTCTACTGGCGGACACCTTGCGCTGCTCCTGCCGCAGGGCCCCCCGAGGAGCAGCCCCTTCCCGGCGGCTGGGAGCCAGACAGCCCGGCAGGTGCGATGCCCCTCGCAGCTTGACCGTGAGCTTTTATAGGTGAAAAACACGAAATAGCGTTTTGCCACCAGCCTGCCCACCCCTGTCACCCTGCCAGCGCCATGGGCGCGGGAGATGCCGCTCGGTGGTAGCTCTTCAGAAGGGGCCCTGGCCACGCCAGGCAAGGTCTTCCCATTTTCTTTTGCTGTGGGAGCGGAGGCTGGGCCTTGCTCTGCCTCCAGCCGCCGCGGCCCCACACCCCTGCGTTCTTCCATCCCAGCCCCGCCGCCGCAAGCTGCTCAGCGGCCAAGGCACCGCCGGGCTCGCAGAGGCACCCGGACAAAAGGACTCGTCTCCCAACAACTTCTTGTCGGTTTTTACCCCCTTTCTAAATTTTTCACCAGTACGTCCGGGTTACTTTAAAGTGTGGCGGGTCCGGAAAATGACCATGGTACAAATATTTCAGACCTGATCAAACTGGAGCAGCAGTTAACACTTGCTCTAATTAGAGCGGATATTCACACCGCTGGCCCGGCCTCCCCGAAGGAGCATTACGATATGTAACCTATGTCCACATTCAAACTCTGCCCTCTCACGGGGGGGAGGTAGGGGGAAAAACATCGAAGTTTGAAAAAAAAATCTTAAACCTCGGGACCAAAAAAATAAGAATAATGGTAATAATGATAATGATTATTCTAACGATACTGATGATGATGATGATGATGATGATGATGATAATAATAATAATAATAATAATAATAATGGTTGGTTTCTCCTCGCCATAGAAGACAGCGGATGGCTAAGAGTTAGCTTTGATAACCTGCGCTCGCCCTGGCCGTGGCTGCCCCGGGGAGAGAAGGCAGCTGCAGGCTCCGGTGCTGCCGGCCTGCCTCTGCCGCCGCCCTGCCTCCCCGCTCGCCCAGCGCCGCCCCTCGGGTCGGGGTTCGGCGGGTCCCAGTGGTGGTACCGAGTGCGGGGGTGAAGCCGCCGCCAAAGGGAGCCTTCAAGGGCTCCCCGGGAGGGAACGGTGCCGGGGGAGCCGCTGGAGGGGGAACCGAGCGTCGCATCGCTTACCTGGCTTAGGCAAAAGACACGGCAAGAAAAACACTTCTCTGGGGAAAAAAAAAAAAAAAAAAAAAATTAGTACAAATCTTCCTCAAGTACTCCCGGACCCGCGTCGCGGGTGATGCACTTGGCCAGCCGAGGGGAAAGGCACCGGCAGCGGCTGTTCCGCCGAGCAGGGCGGGAGCGGCCGCAGCGTCTGGCTCGCTCAGCGGTTCCGAGAAACCGCGAGATAAAATGACAGGCTCTTTCTGTGGAGAAATCAATTTCTAAGCATCAGAGAGAGGTTTAAAACAAATAAACTTAAAAAAAAAAAAAAAAGAAAGAAAAAAAGCCCCCCTCCGACCTGTGATTGAGAGACAGTTAAAAATAATTGCCCCTGTTAAGAGACAGGAGACCAGGTTACAGGGAAAACTACCTTCTTTCAAAGCCCGCTAATGGCCATACGATTCATTAGGTTACTTAATCCTAATAACCTTGCTAGCATCAGTCCCGGTGACCCAGCCCATTAAGCACCACCAGTGAAACCCTATAAAACAGGCAAGGGGAATGTCCAACATCTGAGCACATTTATTAGCATTATGTTTCTGAGATAACATGCCCCCGGCTCCCCTGCATACTGCTGCGGGCAGGTTGGGGAAAGAGGGAGCTCTGCTTTCGGAAGGGCTGAGCACAGGAGCAGGACTCCGCGAGGCGGATGGCTGGTCCCACCGTCACTGTCATTCACGGTCTCCCGTTCTCTCTGCTTTCCTCCCCCGGCCTCCGTCTCTCCAGCCAAACAATAGCTACATTTGTGGCGAGCATTTTTTCCTTCTGATTAAACCCAGGCCAACCAATGGCCGCCAGAACGAAACAAAACGCAGAGAGTAACATTTCGATCATAAAGGGTAGTTAAAAACTCAAAAAAAAAAAAAAAAAAAAAAAAGGGTGGGAGTGAGAGACAAAAAGTCTCTTACACCGAAACGTGCTAGTGAGTCAATGCCGTATCACCCTCCGTGAAGGAGTCGGCTGAGGGGGAGAGAGGGAAAAGAGAAGTGAGGGAAGCAGCAAGGCCGGCTCCTCCCGTGCCTTCCAGAGCTGCAGACAAACCGGACGCCTCCCCGGCATCTCCCTGCCAGGGTGAGGTCTCTGTAATTTACGACACGAGTTGTTACGGTATTTGCCGCTGCTCGGAGCGCAGGCACATGCAAGCGATTAGAAGAGCGAAGGGCTCTCTCCAGCCCGGGAGGGACCTCTCCCAGCGCCGCTGTCACCCCCTTCCTCCGGCCCTCTCCGGGCAGGCAGGCAGGCAGATGCACTCCCCTCCCGCCTCGGGGTGGCTCCCCGCGGCCTGAGGGAAACCCCTCCCAGGATCTGCAGAGCAGCAAACCGTCTTCAGACTTTGACTGTCTACAATCCCCCTACCAACACTCTTTATTTTTCCTTTCCATTGCTGAAGAAGACTGTGCCCAGAGGCAGTGGGATGGCGTTAGGAGATGCCAGCCCGGGGTACCCAGGGCTCCCGGCGGACACCGGTCCAGGCTCCCGCCGCTGCCCACCCAGGCAGCAGCGAAGGGGCGGTGGCAGGAGCAGCCGGGATAACGCCCGGCTGAGCCGAAGGTGATCAGGCAGCGTTCAGCCCCCACAAAAAGCTGACGTGACCCCTCGCTGTTTTCGCAATAGTTTTAACACTCTGGCAGAGATGAAAGCAAGAAAAGCGGCGGGGAGGGAACCGCTGCGCCCTGCCGAACTGCCCATTCCCGGTGCTGCCGGCACTGCAGAGGGTTTGCCGGTGATTAACCCTGAGGGCTGATCCTGCAAGCCCTCCTCCCCAGGAGAAGCGTCCGCTGCCTTCGCCGGGGTGCCAGGGGCACCAGGGCTGGGGGCGAGGTGTGCCCTGCGCCCCGTCCCACACCTCCGCTACTGACCTCGGCGATCCTGCTGTTAAACGCTTTGCCTCTTTTTTAAAATTTGTTTGTTTTTCCTCAAGGGCTATTTTAAGTAATAAAATGTTGGTCTGGCTTGGAAGCTGTCATAACAGGAGCCTGGTTTATTTATTGGGTTATTTATTTCTTTTACCAGCAACAATATCCCGAACACAGTCCGGTTGAAAGAAGGAATTTCCAAAAACAAGGGGGAAAATAGGGCGTGAGAGGGGGGGAGCAGTAAGAGAGAGAGAAGAAAAGAGAGGGAAGAGAGGGAGAGGGTGGGAGAGCAAGACAGAGAAAAAGCAAGAGATAAAGAGAGAAATCTAGAAGAAAGCAAGAAGGAGGAGAGAAGCAAGAAGTGGAAAGAAAGCAAGAGAAAGCAAGAACGCAAGCAAGAAAGAATGAGAGAAAGGATGAAAGAGAAAAAGAGAGAAAGAGAGAGAGAAAGAAAAGAAAGACATGCCAGCTATTCAAAATTAAAACAAGAAGCCTCGAAGTATTCATTTTGGTATTAATATTATTTAACATTAAAAACTCCGGGAACTTCAAAAAATTTCTTTCAGGGAAAAGCAAGAGAAAAGAACTATTCTCTGGAAACCATTTGTTCACAGCTCGAACTGTGCCGTTTTGGCTTAGAAACAAAACTCGAGACGCCCAAAACTGTCCCTCCTCCCCCCCCAGCATATATCTTTTCAGCACACATTTTAAAATAAATATCCTTACGAGTCTTTCCAAAACGCCTCCTTGTTATGAATTGATAGGATACAACATACCCCAGCTGCGTGCCTGGCAGTTGGGATTTAGCCCTTTAAATGCCAGGACAACAGCTGGGGGGAAAGGAATCACGGCGGCTTCGCCCGCCTCCGCCCGGTGCGCGGGAGGTGAGCGGCGGCTCCGCGGGCACCCAGCACCCCCGGGCAGCCCCGCGGAGCAGCAGCCGCCCACTCGGTGCTCTGGGTGCAGACAGCCCCAGGAAAGAGCCCCCAACTAGGCAAAGGAGAAAATGGTACTTTTTCCCCGCAAGCTCTTTTAATTTTACTATGCTTTTCGTCCTACTGCTCAGCGAGTCAACATAAAAAGCATGTTCAGTATCTAGTTTGCATAGAATGTAATAAAATAGCGGAAAGGTTGTCCGGGTTCTCCTCGGAGGTGTCCTGCTTGGGAAACAGGGGCCGAACAGGCGCATTTTTCTTCCCAACACAAAATTAATTAAACTTCGAAGATATTTTAGTGGGCGTTTACTTAATAAAGTTTTCCTGTATCCATTTTTCCCAGAATAGTGCTTATCGTTAAAAAAAAAAAAAAAAAAAAAAAAAAAAAAAGGTTGCAGGAAGAATTTACAGTGTGATCTTCTGTTTTGGGGCTTGCAACAGGTGTCAGAGCTCTCTTCGGGGAGAAGGAAATTTTATATATATATATATATATATATATATACACCTCAATCTACATATATATATACACACACACACGTGTGTGTGTGTAGACCATTAAATAAAATGACCGCTTTTCTTTAAACAAAAAAAAAAATAGGCAAAAGAAAAATGTTACCGTTTCAAACACCTTCTATGCTTATGCATGTTATACTCAGAATATATTATATGATCTTATCATGTTTCAATCTCTATTTTCTTGTGGATTTTAATGAGATGATGTAGTGGGAACCATCACCGGCCATCTTTAATAAGATGTACGCTTTTAGTCTTATGTTTGAGTACGTCTTTTTAAGATTGAACAACCAAAAAATGCCTTTGTTTTCAAAACTAAGAAGCGCGAATAATGGCATTGCGAATGACGTATGACTATGGACATATATTACAATTATAGGCCATCACAAATAAAAAAGTATGATGAAGCACATGTTTGAGGTGATCTACCTCTAGAAAATGAGTTACAGTTAGTTACTGTCTCTTCTCGCCTCCCTGTGTCCAGCACGATATTACCTTCTCTCCGCCAAGAGCGGGGAGAAAAATAAATTTTAAACACCCCGAACTCGTTGTCTTTCGGGGAGCACAATTTCTAACAGCTGGTTTGCAGAGGAGGAGCCAGTGACCAAAAAACCCCCTTAACCCAAGGTGATGCACAGCTTTTTAATCCATGCCCCCACATATATGTTTATGTTCACATATTCCTACAGCTAGTGCCTAATGCATCAGCAGCGCCTTACTCTGGGAGAGGGAGTGAGTATAGAATCCTCACAGATCTAGTGGTTTCAGGGTGCCGCTTGTTTAGGAGAAGCTCCAGAAAGTTTAAAAACTGTGTGTGGGGATATTTATTTCCATTCCTTTAGCACTCCCCGCTCGGCGAGTGCAGACGCCCGCCGCGCCAGGTACGGGCAGGGCAGAGGGAAGGGGCTCGGAGAGGGCAGCCCCGGGATCCGCGGCCACCGCCTCCTCCCGTCGGCGGATGTGCGTGGGATGTGCCCGAGGGACTCCCGCCAGGGCACCGTCCGGCACTCCCTGCCCCGGCGCAGGGAAGGAGCGCACCCCCGCCTGCAGGAGCCGGCGCTCCAGACCACGGGTTTGTCTCCCCTCCCTTTACCCCCGGGACTCGCACCACAGCCAAGCCAGAACCGGTTTGCTAAAAGCAAACTGCTTTCTTCAGAGCCCTTTAAATCCCAGCCCGGCCCCGGGATACAGTGCGCACGAGGATGCCGTACGAAGGATGCCAAGGCAGCCCCGACCCGGAAAGTGCGGTGGATTCAAGGAGGGAGAGCAGTGAAATATTGAAAGCGCTCGCAGCTGGCAGCTCACCGCAGTACCCATGGCAGGAGGGGCTTCGGCGCAGACAGGGGGTCCCAGCCCCTGGGTTGCTGCCCGCGCCCACCACACGCGCCCCAGCCAGAGTTGCAGAGGAGCTCCGGCAACGGAGCCGGAGCTTTTTTTTTTTTCTTTTCTTTTTCTTTTTTCGAAATTTCCCCAGAAAGTGCGGAATTCACAGGCAGGAAAGGGCAGCAGGGGAACGAGAGGATTCCCTGCCCTTGCGCTCGCCCAGCCGTCCCCCAGCCACAGCAGCTCCCCGAGCCTGCCTGCACCTCCCCGAGGATGGATGTGCTTCATGCCCTTGTCGCGCATGGAAACTCAGGCCATCCTGCGAACGACGTGTTGCCTAAATAAAGATAAAACGTGCTATACATCACAGGCTTTCCCGGTTATTCTCAATGACTTGTCGATTCCTCCCCCCTCCCCATCCATCCCCCTACCCCCTCGGCACACGTGCAATGATAGAAAATGGTTTTAAATGACGAAGGGTCACGTAGAGCCATCCTGATCGTTTAGCAAAAATAACAGAGCTATTATAGAGCTGAAGGAAGGAGCCATGGAGTTCACCCACACGTGCTCCGGTACTGTGCCTCGACTGAACACACACACATAGACAAAGGTATATGTATGTGTGTATATGTGTGTAAAGGTATATATATGTGTGTGTGTATATATATATATATATGTACACACATACATACATATATCTATGCAGCGGCACAGTCCCATGTGACCCTCAGGACTCTCTCATTAGGCCGTAAATACATGCACATATGACAGTGAGCGCTCCTGTAGGGATGGGAGGAGAGGACGCAGAAGAGCTGCTTGTGTCTTTGGGATGGAAAGTCACATAAAGCCTTTTATGAGAGCTCGGGAGACAGCAGTTGCTCACTAACCTACTTTTCTCTTTCTCTTTTTTTTTTTTTTTTTTTTTTTTTTTTTTTCATCTCTATTGCCGAAAACTGGAAATAATTAAATTCTTTAAAGGTTTACTTTCGAAACCGTCGCTGGAGTAAACTATGATTCAGGTGTAAATAATTACCAAAGTCATGAAAGCGGCAACTGCTACATGTGGTTTATTCATTGCTTGCCTTTTTTTCTTTTTGGTTTTTTCTTTTAGTCGTTTGATCATTTTCATCCCTAACTGTCTGCCAAATTCACATATTTGTAATTTACTAAACTTTATCGTTCCTACCAGGATAGGGATGTTGTACATTAGTTTCCAGACCCGTCCTGCTCTACCCCGGTGAAGAAGCCTGGCTGGATGCTCCTCAAGAAAGGATAACGCTATTACCCTCGTTTTAGAACTGAATAAAAGATGCTTCCCCTTTCATAAACGCTACCAGACCCACTCAATTTTAGGCTCCAGAGAAGAAATGAATTATTAAATGAAAGAAATTGTTTAAACACAATAGCTACTTGGCTAAATGAAAGCAATCCCTGGGGCAAGACTAGCAGGGTTTGGCCAGAGAGCACAATAATATTAAGTATCCGTTAAGCAAAAATCTTAGAGAAATAGGACAGACGTGGACGTATAATACACAGCATATAAACAAAAGCCCAGGATTTACTTCATTCCTGTTTTCTTCAGCCTGCTCCTATTTTTTCTTTTTTCTTTTGCCTACACTACAACTTCAACCCATTTGACTCTTCAAAAAGCCATGGTGGAAAAAAAAGGCAGGAAAACGAATTTTTTTTTCTTGCCTGGGTCTTATTTTAAAAAGTAAATTTTGCATAGTAAGCCACCACTTGAACATGTTCTGGTGTTGTAAAAGTGTTTTTTATCAGGCTGTAAATTACTGCCACTCTGACAGAGCAGCCGGAAATGTAAATCACACCGTAGAACAGAAATTATGAAAAAGTTTGTTCCCTTTTCTGCGTCCCAGGAAGATCTCGGGGCTGCTGGATTGGGAAGGGAGGGGAAAAGCTTGTTTACTATTTTCCTTCTTCACCAAACTGTTGGCTCCACGGTGCCTGGGACTTTGATGAGAAAGAATGGACAATGTGCAGAGTCCCTTCCTATGACACCCAGGCCACCGCCACTTGGGAGGTCCTTTGGCCTAATGCAACCACAGCTAACTGCTCCCAACAGGAGGCTCTGTGGATCAGGCAGGGTCACAATTATACTTCTGCTAAAGGCAAGGTTCGCCTTAAAAAAAAAAATGAATTAAAGCCTTTCAATTCATTTGGGGAAGGAAGGACCGAGAGCAGTGTTAGCTGAAACCGTTTCCAAGAGGGATGAAGGAAATGAGGTTGCTTCCATGCAGAGGGAAATTAGGGGGAATGTAGGGGGAATGAGGTCCGGGGCGCTCGTCAAGGGGTTACTCCGACCCCAGGGCTGCTACACCAAATCGCCCATCGGCAGCAGTGGGCCTTCCCCCGATCCTGAGAAGTGTTTCGAGGGCCCGTGCACGGAAAGGAGTCCCCCCTGGTGCCATACACTGCAAGGGCATTGCTTCTCTAAGGTAGGGAGGAGAGAGATACACAACCACGGTCCACAACGAGCCCTCAAGCATTGACCTACTTGCACGGAGGGGGAGAAGAACTCCAGGAGACGCTACAGCCGATTGCCTCTGATTTGGGCACTCGGGGGGCATCAATATTTTATGGAGGTGGGAGGACAGGAATGTTGAAATTCATTATATGTCTCGGAGAGAGAGCGCTGTTAAAACACGAACCTCTTGTATTTAAGACGTGAAAAAAAGCGGGGAGGAGGGAAGGGGGCGGGGGGGATGTCCCGACCTCCGCCGCTTACCGGGACACCGGCTGCCGGCCCCTGTGGATTCGCAGCTGGCCCGTCCTCCTGGCTGCCGGCAAGCCGGCCGGGTGTGCTTCCAGCGCCCCCCGGCCAGCCTTCCCCTACTCCTCCGGTTCTTCCTCCGGTTCCCCGTTTAAAGTCCCCAGAGTCACCCCCGGTAGCCCGCGTCCTGCCGGGTCGGGGGCTCAGGGCGGATCCGGGTCCCGGTTGCTGCCTTCCGCCGCGGCGGGCGGGACACGGCGACGGGTCTTGCCTTGTCCCCCCATTCCCACCCCGTCCCCGCGTCTGGGACAAGGGGACACCTCAGCCACCCAGCTTCGGGAAACTCCTTTCAGGCCGCGAGATCCGAGCGGGGGAGGAGGGACCGGCTCCGGGGATCACTTCGGCCGCCGGCCCCGGCCCCGCTCCCGCCGCCCCCCGCTTACCTGGACGACGGTCCCCGTGCTCGGCGACGGGCTCTCAGCAGGACGGGGGTGAGAGGGGACGCCTCAGACCCCCGGGTGCAACAAGGGCCCGGTCATGGCCCCCCGCGCACCCCAGAAAGGTCCGGCGCGAGGAAGAGAGAGGGAGGAGAGAGGAAAAGCCTTTTTTCCCCCTTTCTCTCCCCGATGGAGCAGAAGTGACCCGCAGTATCTGGAGAAGGTTTTTGAAGACGTTTGAGAGGGAGGGAGAGAGTTTTCTGCTGAGAAACTCAATCTGCCATACAGTAGCGACGGCATCTGGGATCTGTCACCGCTGACAGCACCACAGGGCACAGACATGATCTTCCGCACAACACTGCAACTCCCCAAAATACCCTCCTCGCTCCCAAGGTATCTGCCGGGTTGCATCGCTCTCCTCTGCCAAAAGGGGGAAAGCAACCTGAGCCCCCGCAAACAAATACAGCGAGGGGAAGGCAAGAGAGAGCAGCCCGTTCTCCCCCTTCCTCTTCGCGATGCTGAACGCTCGGCCGCCGAGGACACAAGGCGACAGACGATGTCATGCTCGGAGGGCGCAAAGGCCATAAATGTAGGCTCTCGCGACGCTAGATTCCCGGGAATGACTTTAATGAATAATTTCGGAGACAGTTATGGCTTTAGGTAATTACTGCGCGGCTCTATGAAAACCAGATTTGGGAGAGAGGCAGTCAAGGCCGAGCCGTGTGCTTCGGCTCGCCCCTGCCAGACCGCTCCAGACACCACCTCCCCCCATCACCGCCCGACCCCCGGGCGTCCCCGGCCTCCCGCACCCCTCCAGCTGCCGGGGTCCTCCTTCGGGCAGCGCTGCCAGCAACTCTGCGAAGGCTAGAGGCTTCTGGGGGGAACACCTCATATTATTATTATTTTTTTTTAATCTCTTCCGCCTCCTGTATTTTCTGGCAGGACATTTCATTGTCTTTTAGGCCAGTTTTAGAAAACTTCTCTGGGTTTGCACGTGTGTTTATCTTTTTTAAGAAGTTCATTATAAGCAGCTGTTGCAGCCTATAGCCACATACGGCATGCAAATAGAGACCCCTATAGGAGAGTCGGCCTCTCTATTACCCCCACATGTCGGCTCAACAGACGAGACAGGCGAAACCATTCTACCGCTCTGCATTAAAACTGAATTGTACATTTTTCTACCGAGCCTTTTGGGCAACGGAGGGGCTTGTTTCTGCTTTGAACAGCCTCCCCGGTTAGCAATTGAAGGGCTCCGAGAAGCGGACCCGCTGATCTCCATTGTTTCACTAACACGTTACTGCTGTTCCCAGGAGGCCGCTCCGGGCGGAGCCGCCCCTCGCCCCCCGCCCGCAGAGCCCTGCGTCTCGCCCCGGCGGGACACGGCAGCTCTCGGCTGGACCCCACGGCATCTCCCGCCGGGGAGACGGCTCCTGCCTCAGGACACGGGACTGACTCCCCGGGGAGAGGTGCCGAGACGACAGCCTCAGCCCTGCCACAGAGCCGCCACCAGTCAGAGGTCTCCCATAAAGGGAGAAATAGGATTTTGCTGGGTTGTTTCTGTTTGGTTGAGAGCCTTTTTTTTTTTTTTTTTTTTAAATTTTTGTTATGGCTTATTTCGCAGCTTCCCCCCTCCCCCCTCTTGTACTTCAACAGCTTTTCAAAAATTCACTTACTCCCGCCCGACTCCCTGGGTCGGTGGCTGTGGTGGGAAGCCGAGCTCACAGCATACCGTTTGCACTGATTCAGAAAGGAAATGTTCCTTTTCCTTTCGAGATTACGGATAGACACAGAGGAGCGTTGCGGTATCCTAGGGGGTTTACTTTATTTTATTCTGCTGGAACAAAGAAATTGAAGTATTTTTAAATTTGTTTTTAGGGTCACATGGGGCTTTGTTTTTCTTTTCTCCCTCCTCCTGGCAAGTGTATTTTACCGCGAGAATTTAATCCTTCAGATAAATTGTCTAACATTATCTTTTTCCTCTGGAGACGAGATCAACTGCTTTCTTATCCACCCCCCCTCCCCTCCTTCCTGCTAGTAGCACTGATTGTAATGTACAGCTGGACAAGTGTCAGCCGTCCAAGACTGCGAACAGTCTGTGGAGGCTTAAGTTGTATTTATTCAATTATTCCTTTTATCTCCTTGGGGGAAAAAAATAGAGTGATACGAAACACGAAAAAAAAAATCATAAAGTAAAAAGTTTGTCAAAATAAGCGCATCAAACGTGGTTTGGGGTCCCGCTGAGCCAAGGCTGGCTGTTCGGCGTGACCGTCAGCCAGCTCCAGCTCTCAATTAGAGGCGATTCATTAGGATTTAATAGCAGGTGCAAAGCCATCTCCTTGCCAGCAGCACTGCCGTTTGGGTAGGGAATCGTCTTGTTTCACAGCAGCCTCCAACTCTCCCGGCTCGTTCTAAACCTGACTGCCACTTTGGATAACGGGGTGTCGGCGCGCTGCGACTGCCCGCACGTAAGCGTTGCACTTTGTTTGGCTAATTTCTCCCTGCCAAGACACAAGGTGGAAATCTGCCTGGCTCGATATTTATTTTGGAAGACAGCGCTGTGAGCGAATGCGCTGGGAGAAATCGGGCTGAGATAAAGCAAGCGCTGGGCCGGGGGCTGGGGGGAGCGGGGGGATGGGGGAGTAACCCGCCCGCGGAATGCGCCGCTTCTGCTTTCTCGAAGTCCCAAACAGACAAACAAACAAACAACCGCGGCAGCAAACTCAGAAGAGTCGGAGCCTTCGGGGTTCAAAACCGGGCTGTACCAAGAGCCTCGGGGCTGGAGTGCTGCGTCCCACTGCACCCGCATCCCAGCTGGCGGCCGCGGCCGGGCCGGGACTTGGAAAGCGTCGCCGTGATTACACCCAAGTGGAGAGCAGGATGGCTCCGAGCCGTCTGATCTGACGTCAACATGTCTCTAGCTCCTCGCTGCAAGATAGAGGGAGCAGAGCCGGGGGAGGGACGGCTCTAATCATTCCCAGATGTCTCTAATAGCAGATATAAAGACTTATATAGTGTCTGAGAATAAATTTGTAATCAATGCTCTAAAATCGCATCATCAAAGCAATGGTATTTCTCGAGGAAAACGAGGTTGGGGGGAGGGAAAACTGAGGAAGAGGGAGACACACCACGCTGGTTTGGAAGGAGGGAGGCAGAGGGAACCTCAGAAATCCGCTGGCTTCGCGCATCACTCGGCTTTGTTAACATTTATGTGAATATATAATTCAGATAACAACTCTGCTTTACTCTCCATTGTATGTGACAAGCTGAACATAATTGGCCAATTAGAAATAGAAAAGATCGGAGCCGGTTTGCAAAGGCGTATGTTTCATGGACGGCAGAAAAAAAAATTCCCAAATTAAAAATATATAAAACATTGATAAGCCCTTCGTTACAGCAGAGGGGATTATGTCTGGAGGCGTGCAAAATGCGTTTCCTTCCCATCGCTACTTGGAGATTTCTTCTGGGGATATTTGTGGGTCGCTGGGCGAGTACGTGTGAAAAAGGAGGATTAAGGTTAGGTTTCCAAGTGCAAAAGGAAGATATTTTGCTTAGAGGTTTCACTGTTAACCTTTTCTCCCCACCTCCCTGCCCACCTTTCAAGTTCATGCTGTCTCCATGGCATCCCCTAGTCCTGCTTATATCCCGCGTATGGCCCAGCGCTCCTTCTGCGGGTGTCTTTGGCTTGGCCGAGAGGCCCCAGTGCACCTCTTTGACAACGATATCAAACGAGAAATAATTATTGCAATAATCTTTTGAGGCAAAGAAAAGCTCCTGGGAACCACGGGGGAGAGGGGAGTACATGTGGAAAAAAAATCCCCAGACCACAACACTAAGCAAAACGAAGAAAAAAAAAGCCTCGCCACATTTTTTTTCTCTTTTGCTTGCCGGAGTGCAGGCATGGCATACACATCCGACAGCAACGAGGTCCCGCATGTTACAGAGTCCCCCAAAACTCGGTACTGCCAGCGCCTGGTAGGCTCGCTGCCAGCAGCGGAGCACAGAGCCGGCCCCTCGCTGCGTCCCCGCTTTCCAAAATCCGGACGAGCTCTAAAAATCCACACTGCTGTTTTCCTCGGGGCCCCCAGGGGACACGCAGCCGCTGGGGAGGTCCTCGCCTCCCTGCGAGGGGGCGAGCGCGCTGTTTCGGGGGCCGCAGCCGGGCCCGCACCCCGGGGAACGAGGGGCCGCTCCCTGGGAGGGAAGGGGAGGAGGAACGTCACCCGGGGGAGTTCTGTCGCTCTTCCTTTTCAAGGGTAAAAAAAAAAAAGAAAATGCTATGTTCTCTTGAAAGAGAGCAGAGGGCCTCGCTCCCTTAGCCATGAAACGAGGCTACAAGACTAAAACACGGATCCGTGAGCCAATCTGGGGGCGCAGGGCTTCAGCGACCCGGCTGCTCTCCACCCTGCCCTCCCTTCTCTCTTCCTCCCTGCACTCACAGAGAAAAGTTGCAGGGTGGGAAAAGCTGCTATCTCTCCTCTTACGTGCCTTTAACCTCGGTAAAATCTCCCAAAAATGTTTTGGCCCCGAGGAATTACCGGACAGATGGGCGGGATGCCGATGCCCCCGGGTGCGGGCAGGATGCGGAGCGCAGCTCTCCGCTGTTATCAGGCCTTGGCTCTGCCGGTGGAGAGCTGAGGCCAGGGCACTGACATCCCCATCTACCATCAATTTACCTTCTGCTTCCCCGTTTAGCTTTTAACGTCAAAACCTACATTTTTGTCGGCTCCGGTCTGTCTAGGGCTCCTGTGATTTAGCTGCGGGAATGGCTGCTCCTGAGAAAATAGCAACATCCTCGTTAGTGAGCAATTAAAAGAGATCCTTCTTGGCGGATTCACAGGGGCTCCCGGTTCTGATAAACTGACTTTACAAAACCGGAAAATTATTAATGTGGAAATATTGGGCAGGCGTTTTCTCTCCAATTCGGAGATTGGATATCGGAGCCGACCGCCGGCCCTACCGCGCATCCCCCGGAGGAGTTGCAGCCCGCTGACTTGGTCGAGGGAGGACACAGTATCTGCAGAGAGGCTGCCCACGATGTGCCCCACCACAGCATTCGCAGCCACCCATCACCCCTTTTATTTTTTC